GAATCTAAATGATCGATAAACCATGTCAGAAAGTAATAAAACGTTTGAAATTGCCTGGAAATGTGATCAAATTGTGGTATGAAATGAAAAAATACATGCGCGAAATAAGTATTTTTTTCACAAAACACTATAAAATAATTACGAAATATCACGACAGAACGACAACAGCCGAATTTTAATTGGCCACTTTCTTATGTCTTACGCAAGCACCTCTATATGAGAAACAATTATGTGTAGGTATATAAATATACCGGAAAAAGAAGTTTTCGGACTGCACTTTCTATATTTTTTTATATATTTTTATTATGGTTTTGTTTCACGCAACCGCTTTTTGCTTTTTTTAATTTGCAACTCTTTCGGTAAATTAAAAAGTGTAAACGTCGATGTCAATGACTTTGCTGTTTCTATGCAGATTCTAGGCTGTACGCGTGAGGAGTTTTACGAACTTTTTATGATAAATTATTTTTCATTGGATCTACATTTTTATTCGAATGATAATGGTGAAAGGTGACAATCGAGAGGATTGTGTTGCTTAAGTGTAACGTGACCACATGCACTCAGATTGTTTGTAAAAGTTAATGAATAAGTTTTGCAAATATTACCCGTGAAAGTTATTTCAGCTTTTTTGTTTGGGGCAAACTTGTGAAGTATATTTAATCAAGTTAATTAGGGGTTCATTCCTTTTGTAAAGCACGAAACCACGTGGCTATTTGTAATTGCATTAGAATTATGTAGAATTGTTCCGAACGCGTTTTAACTATAAAACTTTCTACTAAATTAAATATGAAAACGACTCACACCCTCCAAAACTACGGGTAATTACCAACATTTGTTCCAAAGTTTGCCCCAAACACCGTCCCGTTTGATTAAGTGGAAATTACCTTTAATGCTCCCACCTGAAGTGTGCGGTTGCTGGCTCTGTTGGACGTTGGTCTGCTCCACCTTTGTGTCAACAGTGTTCCACATCTCGAACATGTTTATGTTCATATTGGCTCCAAGGCCCAACACTAGCACAATAATACCATAACACTTAACTTGCACACACAAACACTCGATCATCCATTTTTGTACACTGAAAATAGCAAGTGTCAAAATTGTTCGACCGTCGTACAAAATGCTAAGGCTACGTCACTGATCCCAGATTTATATTTGTAACTTTTTTTTATTTTATATTGCGTTTTGTTTTTTTTTTTCGTTTATTATTATAATATTCTTTTTTATAAATATTTTAATTCTTTTTATTTCTAGATAATATAAACTTTCTCAAATTCTCAACTAATGTAAATACTATATATATTTTTTATAATTTTTAAATCTACTTACGGAATTTTATATATCAGTCTAAAATTTCGATTTAAGGTTGGGTTTATTTGCTGGGGAGTTTATTAATAACAGTGTATCACTAATTTGTGTTTAATTATTGTTATAGATTTATTATTTTATTAAAAACTAACGGGTTTGTGATTATATATTGCGTATAAATTTTATTAAACTTGTGAGATAAATGCTTTCGGTTTTTTGTTCAATATTGTCGCAGTGATTATACGAAATGATTTGTGTTTAATATATGGCATTGAATGCTTTTATTTTGTGTACCGTGCATTCGTTTTTTTCTCTTCATAGTTCGTAAGTAGGTGGTGTGAGTTCGTTTCCACTTGACGGGTCTATGGTGCACGGAGTCCACACGGCACAGATAACATATTTAACGATTGAACCACAGGCACTTAACACGAACGCAGTTAATTCTCTATGAGCAGATTTTTAACGTTTTATTTTTCCTCAAGTTTTCCTTTGGTCGCGTTCTCGCATGCACTGAAGTGCAGTTGCAGCGTGGGGTGTTCATGGATCTGCGGGGCGCGGGGGCGGAAGTCCTCGCCCCCTTTGCGCATGCCCGGAATCGATCCCGCATGGCCGCTGAGGTATACCGACTAAAACACTACTTTTCTTACTCGCTATATGCTGCATGAATAGATATGTACAGTCTATTATGTCATTCACTTTGATGTGTCGTTGCTAGGCTGTATGGCTGTAGGTGTTTGCCTATTGTTGACCGTTCCTTTATTGAGTGTTGCAACACTGACAGTGTGAATGTACTTACGTACTGGCTGGTGTTTATTTTAAAACTTATTAACAAACAAAAAAAAAGAATTCGAATTTAGAATTACATTTTTATACGTCGACCGTTCTTATTTTAATAAGACGTAAGTGCATGAAAGCTTGCTAGGGAAATTAAAGTGTATTCCAATTACGTAAGGGCTATTTTCGTAGTGAAACATTAACATACAAATATAACTTGTTTGTTTGTAGGTACGTACTATAGTTACAACTTTCTTCATTCAGCTACCGAGGCGCAAGTTGCGTAATATTAAAAGAGGTAATGCTTTTTAAAGATTACCACAGAGTATTTAAATATAGTTTTTTACGTTTCTTATTTGTAGTTTTAATTAATATTATCTTTTATTATATGTCGTAATATAAACAGTGTGTTAACGGTAAAGTAAATTTTTCAACACTCCTCTTCCACCGGGTGTCGGTAAGAACGGACTAAGGGGACTACACATTTTTCTAGTACAATTCGACTATGGTGTTGATAACTACCTGAAATTATTCACTATGATACTAATAGTAGTCAAATACACAACGAAATATGATTCTGTACCTACTCTAAGCTTCATCAATTTTAACTACAAAAAAACTCAATCCGATAAATCAAATCGAATTCTAAAAAATGAAATTCAAATGATGAATGGAAAAGATTCCAAATTCAAAAGAAAACGTTGATCATGGCCGATGCGTGCGCGACACATTAAGATTACGCAAGATGGAGTTACGTATGCGAGCATGCACCGATGAAAGTCGACGGTTTCGGCAGTTCTTGACCAAGTCATGAGCTATAGCGATTTAATGAAGCAAGATCTGTATATAGCTTTTTTTATATTAATATGGCGTTAAAGATAGTATTTATCGTTTGAACTAAACTTTATAGTTTGTTGCAATGGATAAAATTCACTTTCGCATTTATTTCATCTTGTTAGCTATAACTTTTCACAAAAAGTTGGGAGAACAAAGGTTTCTGTAATAGAAAAGGTTTTTATAATAGAAAAAAGGTTCACAGGCAAACAAGCAGATGGATCTTTTGACGGTAGCAATGCCTATTCCGTAACGCCAGAGAAGGAATAAGAGCGTTGCCAGCCTTTTGGAAGCAGACCACCACAGATGGGGCCTAACAGGGCTGATGCCGATACGGAGCCGCGGAAGACTTAACGGGTTGCCGGGGCTCCGGCTCGAAGTGCAGGAGTAGGTACGGCGTGGTTTTTAGTCAGTAAGAGTCTGACACTCCCTCCTGCCTCACCCGGGCGGGAGAAGTCATTGGATGATTTTCCCCCTCAAAAAAAAAGCCTTGTGGACGCAGATTAGTTTCTTAGTATTGATTCCACTTAAAACATAATCATAGATTATTTTTAGCAACCTTAATTGATTCGATTCGTGTATGTTCTTTATACGGTAAAATCCTTTTAGAAAACTTAATGATAAGTTATTAAATCAGTAAAATATTACAAAAAAAATATTCTAATTTTACACAAAACGATTTGATTGCACTAAATTGTCGGAGAACGTCTAAGTTTTGTGAAGATCGTGTAGATACCATTGTTTTGTAAGGTATTAATAACTTAATTGCTATTTTGCAAGTGAATGCAAATTAGTGAATGAACGGTTTGTGTTTTAATATCTGTTACATAAACATAAGATAACGCGACGACTTTTAATTCACGAAAGGGTAGGCAGAGGTATACTTGCGTATGTCTGCAACACTCACTTTTAGCTGCTGTCCACCCAGTTATTAATGCAATAGGGGTCTATTGCCATTACGGAGGTTTTTTTTAAACTGAAAATTCTCACTAGTTCTCAGTAACAACTTAAATTCGAAAGATCCTAAGACATTACATACATAGTGAAATTATGTCATTATATTTAAATAGAACTTAAAATAGTTATAAATATTTATATAAATTCTAAATAAACAAATGGCTTCCATTTGAATAATACAAATGCATTTCTAAATAAATAAGTTATGTAATAGAAGTGGAAATAGTTATTATATTATATTATATACTTTCTTAAACATCAGAGATAATCGCTTAGATATTATGCTAATTCCTAATTAATTGCTTAAGCGAAATAATTAAATGGAAAACTACGGTTATAAAACACATGAACACCAATCTTACGTTTAAAATAATAAAGGTCACTGTGAAATACATTTTATTTACTCATTCTACTTTGGAAATAAAAATAAAAACCTAGTGAATTTGTTCCACTCAATATAAATCTGGGGAAAAATTGTAACCTCTACCTCCCTTCAGGGACTAAAAGGCGTGGCATTATAATATTATTTAGTGTCCAAAAAAAAACAGACATAAACACACCAAATATTTTTCAAATCACATTCCGCCTATAACTTGGACCAAACAAGAACTAAGTGAAAGTTCTGACTGCCAAAATCTTGCGTGAAAGTTCGAGAGTTGATCGATGCCATAATTATTATTACCATTATAAGAGATATGCTAAACGAGAGCCGGATGTAGGAATCGAGTATCGATAAAAAAAAATCTAGACGGCAACTATCGATATATCAAAATATTACATGCTAGTGAGAGGCGTTTAGTAAAGAAAGTTTTCAAACATCGATTTTAAAAGGTCTTTTGTGACTGATTTTTATGGGTGATTAATTAATAATGCATTATTTTTGCCAGTTAGAACTCTTTATACTTTTCTTAATACTGGTGCCTAAGAAACTTTTCGTTTACGGAGCGATTGAGTAACAGGCAGGCAATGCGCAGCCGAAACGAATGCTCGTAGAAAGTGGTAAACTTATGGTATGAATTTCCCATGGGCAGAGCAGTTCAATATAATTCCCGAAAATCTTAAAGAAACGATCGAATCGGGTTTCTGGCGCAAAAAAACGCATTCCAGTTCGATTTTCAAACACCCTCACAATTCAAAATGACAGATGTCAATTATTTAAAAAAAAAACACTCGACTCCTTACGCAAAGGAACAAAAGCAAACAGCCAAGTTATCGACTTCCGTTGTCCTAAGTGATAAATGACAAAATATTTCCATTTAAAATACTTCGTGACATTAGAAAGCGCATGAGTAAGCCGGCCAAGCCTTCTAAAGCAACAGAACGAAGATATTAGGAAATTTTCGGCAATTTCTACATAGTATCCACAGACTAAGAATTACATTTCTTATTTTCACATTTTGACAGCAAAGAGGTTATATGTTCGAGCTTTTATTCACCAAAGATTACTTACATACATCATTCAAGTTTTTCATAACAAACATTTTACTATTAAACATTGTTTTTACAAAAATATTCTTTAATTTTCCTTAAAGCTTGTGCCCTATGTGATATTTTATATTTTTCTGCTTTCGTTAATTCGCTATACGTTTTACAAAAACCATCAGGTTGGAAGATGCTGTCAAAACCATCGCTTGGTCCTCTTGGAGCCACGATTTGTCCGGTAACTACACCTTGAAATAGTTTCACGTTAATTTCACAATCAGAACAATAGGCAAAAGTGCTTATAGCCTTTGCAGATTTGTCATCCCATCCTGTTAGTAGGTTATTCAGCCCTTCTGGTCCTAATTTGTATATGAACCACTTGATGTACGGCCCAGGAAGGCCTTTTAAGGCGTTGTAACACAATGAAGTATCTTCTACCATTACAGGCCCCTTTAATAGTCTGGCTGCTTCTTGGCACTTCTTGATACATATTTCGTCTATTTCTCCTTGGAGTTCGGGTAAGTCTAGCTTACGGCTTATTATTTCTAATTGAGGATTATTGTTCCCTAAAATGGCTCGAACTTCTTCTAGTTTTATCGCGTTGCTTGTAACGAATGTGATCGCTTTTTGTATCATTCTTAAGAATTAAATAGAATTGTGATTCGTAATACGTAATTTGAGCACTTATTACAGATATGTATATAGATTTTAAGTGAAAACTTTGAATAAATAGATAAAGTTTGTAAATGACATGTTTTGATGTGATTTTGACAATGTTGTTTGTGTATCATTACTAATTTTCTTTTTTTGTACAGATTAAAAATAAATATATACAAAAACCAAGAAGTTTTTATTCATCGATTGAAAGCTATACTTTGGAATGAGCGACTTGATTCGTAAACTTACAAGTTTTCCTATACAAAGATAAACTGTAGTAAACTTAAAAGAACTTATTATTTACTTAAAATAACTGCGTTTAAAGCCCTAACACAAGTTAATATAACTTTGTATCAAACGTATGTTTAAGTTGGCGTACACTTCTAGCACTCAAGGTTAAATGTAGCAACTATGTATTATAAGGTAAGATCGCTGGGAGCTAAGTGCAATGTACCTGTATCTATCTCGCACTTTTTAAACATGACTTCATGGCTTTTAATCCCCGACGATGAAGGCAGAGTACTCTTATAGAATTTAACACTCAATTTTCAGTGATTATGTTATGAGTCCTATGTGACAGGGGTGAGTCGATTGCCATATACCGGGCACAGATCTAGCGTCAGGCTATGAGATTCATCATCAACATGTTCTTAAGAGTCTAACTACTGAACTATGAGCCTCTTCTACATAGAGAGATTTGCATTAATCTCCACGTTTTGTAGGTTTGGATACCGCAGTTTAAAACGTTCAGGTGTACCAGAGAGCGCTGCTGCCCGGTCTCTGTCAAATTTGCAGGCCCTTTTAAAGTTGAAATTCATAACAGATCACAGTCTAAAATCTTTGAAATAGGATCCAATATTGACATTAGTTGATTGGAGTTTCTGTGGTTGGTTTTGGGTTAACATAATGTAACATAGTTAACTCGTCGAGTACCGTCATTATAGACACAATTATAGAACAATAGGTTGCGGTCACCGGTGACCGCTTGGTGTTGCTCTTGCGATATCTTCGGGAGAAGAAGGAGAGATGACAAATGTATCATTTAACAAGTTAAACGCCATGGGGGTCGCCGGTGACTGACGCTGGTTTAAGATTTGCCTTAATTATATATTACACACTTTCATTTAACTTGCGATGTATGTGTCTGTGTGCGTGTGTGTGTGAAGGAATGGAATCTTGCCACAAAAATTCGAAGCAGATATCTTCAACCGATTGAGCTGAAATTTTGTATACACGTTTAGTTTGCGTGTCAATAAATGCCAAAAAGGTTTTATTTTAAGGTTGAATTTAAGACAGAAACTATTGGATTTCGTGTACTAACTAGTACTTAAGGATGAGAACAAAAAGTGTTTTATCTATTAATATTTATGAAGAATTATAATTACTTCGATCTCAGTGGCCTCGGTGCACGCTAGCCACAAAACCGATGTACTTGTGTTTGAAATAAATAAGTACGTAGCAACGACCTAATGCAAGGATACGACGTGTGTGTTACACGTTGATTGGGTAAATGGGAGGCTTTAGTGCTAAGGGTATTAGGCTCTATAAAAAAAAATTGACGACGTGTGTGTCATATTTGCTAGTTATTTAAATAATAGTGCATTTGATGTGATTAAGTAAAGAGTTTATAATGTTAGTCTTTTTAAGTAGTAAATTTTTATTTAATTATTAATTTCTAAGGTGAGTGTAATAAAACAGAGAATCTATATTGAAATATCTACATTAAAAAACCTTCAATAATATTTTTACCCAACTCAGATACTGAACCTGCAATATTATGTTCAGTAGCCTCATTATCGACCACGCTATGTGATGCCTATACTTAGATAAAATAGTACTACTATTAATAATCAGTACCTACATAATTAGTTATATGATATATAAGTATTATTATATTATTTGTACTAAAACTAGGCGTAATATTACATAAGACCTAAGTTACATTAAATAATATCTACATCCCACTAAACTATATCATCGAACTAGATTTTGGCATAAAAAAAAACATTCAATCACCAAAAAGCTCATAAGCCAAACACATAATTAAAAAAATGAATTCTTTTTTTTAAACGGCAAAAAAGCGGTTCAGGTTTGTAATTCATAATGCCAATGTAGGCAATGTTAGACACAAGAACAAAAATATTTTGAACATTAAACTCACAAGATATAAAATTAATTATATTAGACATTAACATTGATAATTAATTTATTAGTTTATCGAAAAACTCCACGCGTGACCTATTAACTGAAGATACGTGTAAACACCAAAATACTAAATCCATCTAACATTTAATTACAACGTAAAATGTTAAAATCATTTTAACATCGACCCAAATTTAATGCAAACAAGAAATAAAACGAGATAAGAACAATTATCTTTTAAGACAAATATTCATAAAAAGTGCCCTTCGGCCCCCGAAAGAGAAAAATTATATTTCCCAAGAGTTTCCTAACTATCTGCTCTCTCACTCTAACACAAGGTCGAATTCTTTGTGTCTCGCTCACACAGATCTCATGCAACTAAGACCTTGATAAATTGCAGTTTCGCGATAGATAATTGTTATACGGGTGATCATTATACGGGTCTTTAACATTAAAAAATAAATTTAAAAAATTACGTTAACCATTTTTTTTTAGTCTGTGCTTTATAATATTTTGTCACGACATATAAATCTGAAAACAGTGCTGCCTTTAATTTTTTGGAGTTAACATTACTTTTTATTGTTAAAAAAATAATTTATAAATACAACTCTTAAAATGAATATTGGAATTTAAATTATATTTGTTTCAGTCATTTTTCTCTCAAATAAAACATGTTGAATAAAAATCTTATTTCATATCGACGGACGAACAATTTTCTTATTAGATAAAATTATAAAAGTGACTACTCACATCCAACGTAATGCATTTGTTTTAACAATCCAAAAAGTTCACTTAACACGAAGTTCCTAATTAATGCTGTAAGCACTGGCTGGTAAAAAGTTATTTTAAAATCCGAACACCAAAGCCGACGGGAAGGAAAGCGCGGGAATTTTGACGTTTGATTTTTTTATTCCAAAATAAGTACGCGGTGCCGAAAAGTTTGGGCGTAGAGCGGCCGTGCGCGCGCCGTTAGCGAGTCAAACTGAATTTTGTAAGCGCCAGCGAATGGCGTACGCTTTGCCGAGCAGGACTGTGAAGGTGTCGGCCCCAGCATTTAATTTGAAGACATTTAACCATCGGCCTGTCTTGCCGGTATTAATAGAGGCTGTTGATGTTAAACTTGTGCTTTGCTAGATTTTATCAAACTTAGTATGCTTAGATAATCAAAATATGTAATTATGTTTTGTAGGAAAAAAAATTAACATACAACTGGCTATTGATGTATTAGTCATATAACCCCACTTAATGAGAAAAAAAGTAACTTTTCAATAAAAAATAATAATACAAAGTTTCAAATAAATTTCTTAATACTTAAGTATGTGTATAAAAATCTAAATAGAACCGAGAGAGGTTCGAATCTATTTCTGTTCCTCCCATATCCAATAAGAAGCATTAAGGATGACAACTAAACTATAAACTAATTTTCTTTTAAGAAAATAAAGAGTCAAATTATGTCATGTTTACTGACAGTAGGAAATTCAAAGGAAAAAATATATCAATCATTGTCTATGCCTCTAGCATATTGAAAAAAAAAAGAATTATTTATTCTCAGAGTGAGAATTTGAATACAATTAATAGTATTTTATTTATTTATTTTGTTTAGAATTAATAAGTTTCTCGTAGGATATTATTTATAATTATTTGTAATCTATATAATTATTTATAATTAATAACATTTAAATAAATAGGTTATTAATTAATAGTTGTCTATAAAAAACATTGTCTAAAAACATTCCCTACAACACAAGAAAAACACGAAACGAAAGCAAAAAAAGTACGCCCAACAAAAAAAAAACAAAATGGCCGCTCGATCAAAAACTTTTTGAATAAAAATTAACATGTAACGTAAATCGTAATCAATAATTTAAAAAGAAGTGGGTCGTGCTAAAATCTAAAATGACAATCAACCCGTTTATTGTGGATTTTTACTCGCAATTCTAACCCTTTGTCCGCCACTGGACCCCCGGAATGACAGGACATGTAAAGTCCATTGAACAGAAAAACTGGACAACTGAGGGGTTGTGTGAGTTTTTAGGGGCCAGCACGAGTTATTGGAAAGGGTTGTCTACTTACGAGTTGTGGTAAACTATGTTAAAATAACATAGATAGTATTCAGAACTGCTGTAATTTGAAATTTTATTTATTTATTTGTTGTATCAAAAAAAACGTTGCCCCATACTACATTTATTTCACGAGCTTTTTTTTCCATGTATAATTAATTTCATGTCACCAGCGAATAATAAGGAACAATTCAAGATTCTGTGCCATACAATACATATATGTATGTACATTAAAAAATTCCATGATCCTTCTCAACAGCCTACAGCGCTACAGCCTGGCCTCTGTCAAATGTAGGCTTCCATCGGCTTTTACGATATGATAACTTTATTACAGTGTACCTGTACCATCAACAAATAGGCTAAAGTCTTCTATATACTGAACCCGTATCGCAAAATCCCCTCGCACAACACAAAACAAGTTTGTGTCCCGAAAAAAGGGGTAACTAAGCCAGAAAATCATGTCTACGTCTCATGAAACAAGTTACTTTTAACATAGAACAGGCGAAAACATGTTACACTACAAACAATCTTAATGCTTTATAGTAGAGTCGAAAATTAACCGATGAAATCTGACAGTTTCATGTAGCTTGGAGAGTACAATTTACAATTTTATTAAAAGACAGCATCTATTGATCATACTCATCTGTTCCCTGCCTCGTCTGGTCACCCTAATATTGCAAAAGATTAAAAGTATATTGTAAAAAAAACTGGTATTAAAATACAAAATCAAAGGAGTTCGTATTACCTCTACAATGACGTTTTGTAATCCGCCATTTTGAATTTCCTGTCATTATTTTCGGACACAGCTGGATAAGATTGACGCAGCTTGCGTAAATTCGTAACCACTTATTAATAAGACTGTACTCGACAATCACATA